AAAGGCTATAGGCAAGGGTATTTAATATTTAATCTTTAACAGTCCAGCAAAGAGTTCGGTCTGGTTGCTGAAGGATAACGATAAATCCTTATGCCAAGGAAAACTCTTTCTGCACACTCACTCAACCAGACGGATGGACAGAGGGACAGGCTGACAAGCAGACAATCAAGCGTCCATTTTAAGGACTCAAATTGGGTTCGTTCGCATAGATCAAAGACAATGAATGCACAAGACTTGACCAGTAAAGGCAAGAATCTATGCCAAATTACATTGTAATCGAGCTGAGCTCAAATACACACACACACACACACACACATACGAACACACATCAAATAACTGTTTGGTGTGTTCTTACGTTTTACGGCCAAATTCAATGCTGGTAATTAACTTTGAAAATCCAATTATGGTAAAAACTTTTACCAGAGATTGCCAGTTCGAGTGAATGTGTGTGTGTGCTGGGTGTGTAGAAAATTGCAAGTGTAAAACGTTGCCTTAGCATGTGTGTGTGTGTGTGTGTGTGCGTGCGTGTGGGAGTGTGTGTAGGTGCATTTATAAGTGATATGCAGAACATGCAATTAACAAGAGCAAATTCACTCGACTCTGCCTCTGTTGTTGTGCGAGTGAGCGAGTGTGCATGTGGTATGTGTGTGTGTGTGTGTGTGCGTGTGTGCCTGTAGCTAGACCACCTCGTCTGAGCTTAGGTTCTCACTCCCAATTGCGTGTCGTGTTGCCTTCTGCTCTTTCCCTGCTGTATACACTCACAAAAATTAGATGGTCTTCAATGCAGAAAACTATTACTGATAATCGACCAAAGTGCTTTTACAATATTGTAAATTTTAAAGAATAGTTAAACTCAAATTGTTTTTTTTTGCTTTTTACCTAGCAGATATATTTTTCTTAAATATAGTAATTAAAAAAATCGAAACAACTTTTAAGTAATTTTGTTGTCATAATTTCTTATGAGTAAAACAATAGGCAACACTTATTTTTCAGAGTGTAGCCACAAATACACTCCCACACACACACGCTCACTCACACACATATTGCTGCAGTCATCGCACAGCTTGAGTGAGAGAGAAGGGAGGGGGCGAGAGAGAGAGAGAACTCCTGCTGCTGGCTGGCAGCTGCAATTTGGTTAGCCAATTCCCGCCCCTTCGCACTAACGGACGCCATGCGTGCCATTGTTTCCATTTTAATATAATTCTCACGTAATAATTGCATTTGAGCAGTGTCAAACTATGCCAACAATAGAAGACGTGTGAACGAACGCAAGAAGAATCTCGACTCTGGCTGTGGCTCAAAGCTGTTCATTGCTCATTGCTCATTGCTCACTGCTGCTAGACAATGTCCGTCTCTTTAAGTTGACCGACTTTTCCACAATATTTCCATAGAAAACTGGCAGCTTTCCCCCCTCCCCGCTGTGTGTGTGTGTGTGTTTTTTTTTTGTTGCCCACAATGTGTTCATTAGTTTCAAGCGGAATGATATATGTATATAGGATTTGTTGATATTAGACCAACACTCGCACGTCTGAAGCGAAACAAGAGTTTGAACTATATATTAATTAAATTCAAGTTGTTTCCTTGACTGTACAATATCAATTGCAGTTGCTGAAAAGTCTTGCTATCTTTTGATTGGTTTTCTTACTGCCAGAGGAATTTTGAAAAATACAAATAAATAATAATAAAAACATTCACTTTTCATAAGCACAATTATTTATTATTTTTCTGTACAGCTTCTTAAGGCATTTATTTTCTGCACAAACTTCCTATTGCGCCGTATTTAAAATAATAAAAGGAAAAATTGAATGAAATTCTTATGTAAACTCATAAGAAGCTAAATGCGGATATCATCCAGTTGACTTGCAGCTTGGCTCCTGCTCCCTACTTGTTTATTATGTACAAAGGGGAATATCCTTTTTATTTTCGTTCGTTTCATTAGAGTTCAGCTATGGGGACTATTATTAAATTTTTATTTTTTTTCTTTGAAAAATTTGTACACCGGAAATTGAATTTTTCACTTGCGCATCCTGCAACGGGGCACCATTTGTCAGCATATCTGTCGTCCTGTTTGCATTTAATTATTTTTAATTTCCCGCCGAGCAATTATAAGACATTTTTCTCCGTCTTCCATTCAGATGCGTAATGCGTAATGATAATTTAATTAGTTGCTGCAAGCCTGACAGCCTGGTTGGCTGGCTGGCTGGCTGGCTGGTCTTTTAACCGTTTGCCAGCTCATTAACTGCACTTAACTGGCGAGCCGACGACTTTCTGTGAATTCTTAATGATAGGCCAAGGCAAGCAGCCTCTGCCACACCTCCCAACTCCCACCCACTGTGCCTGAAGCGTGATGGCGCCTCGGGTGGTGGGGGGTACGCCTGTGTTCTGACATTTTGTATCGCTTTATATGCACATGTCAATTAATGTGAAATTGATAGCATTCAGGGAATTTGCTTTTATTTTTGCATATGCCAATATTTACATGACAGACTGCATTGAGCCGCGAAATTTATGCGCAAACCGAATTTTGTGTGTGTGTGTGTGTGTGTATGTCTTTTTGGGTGTGTGTGTGCCTGTATTGGTTGCTTCTATGCGTCTATGTGTCGGCGTAAATATTTGTTCACGCACGTGTGTAAGCTACACATGGCGTATGCGTAATCAGTCAGCTGAGCAATCAAATGCATTATCTATGTACATACGTAAAAAGAAGAGTGTAGTGGGATAGAATTTGATAGAAGCAGAAGTGGTGCGTGTCGATATTTATATGTATACGAGTATGTATGTAAACGAGTGCCAAACAGCGAGTAATTAACAACGAATTCTTAGTTGAAATGTGATTTGCGAGTGGTGGATCGAGTAGAAATCAAAGAGTGTCAAAAATCGAGTGTCAACTATCAGTTACCAAGCAGCGAGCACTAAATAATGACCAATAAGAAACGAGTAAAATATAAAAGTAGAAAAGCAGCAGCATCAGCATCAGCTGAATGCCAAAACGTAAGAAGAATAAATAGAATCGCAGCTCTCGAAATTCGGAAGCGTTCTATTTCTGGCAATTTGCCTAAGTGCAACGGAATGAATGGACGCCTGGACGGCGGTTGTCAACTTGAAAGTTTTAATTAGAAGCACAGCTGCAGAGTGGCAGGCAGCCACACTAGCAGAGTAAAAGGAGGAGGAAGGATGCGGATGAGGACAGTAGTGAAGAAGAATAAGAAGTGCAGAAGGCAGTCAAGCGAAATGAGCAGACAAAATGCGTTGACAGACGATGTGAAAAGAAGTGCGCAACGCAGCTCAACGAGGCCAGCGCCAAAAAGTAACTTTAATGGCAGTAAGCACAAATGAATGGGACAACAAACACATACAACAACAATAGCAACAACAACAACATTAAAATCGACAACAACAGAAATGCCAGAAAAGTGCACAATTTTATGTGGCACACAAAACTTTTGACATAAATTTGTAGCGCCACACAAAAATTAGAACTGATGCGTTTTATTTAGGAGCTCGGCCAAACGTTTTCTACGTTGAGTTCCAGAGTTGCCACCTTTTGCGGCCTTTTACTTTTCGAGAGAAGAAGACAACAACAACAACGAGTCGAAGTCTTTTGCCAGACGACTGTCAAATTAATTTTAATGCGATTTTCATGACTGCATAACTTTTGTGGATTTTAACGATTATTGGCCCTAATGGGCAAATGCAAAAAGGGTGTTGGAGAAACGCACATAACCCGAGAAGAAGTATACGATGACTGCTAGAATTGTTACCCGACCCGCTCTCTAGGTTCGTCGTCGCCACCCAATTGAAATAATCTTGAAATTTAGCACATGGCAGCGACAGCAAATGCACAAATTTATTGCCACACTGCCACTGGCTTCAAATTGGGAAACTGTCTGAGGCTTAAACGCTGCCTCATGCATATTTGATGCCAAATATAAAGCGGCCATAAATTCTACTCGAAATTTACGCACCAAAGTAAAAGTAATGCCCCAACAAAAAGAAAAGGACTTGACTTGACAGAGATAGAGAAAAGGAGAGAGAGAGAGAGAGAGAGGGATAGAGCTACGCACGCACCTATGTCTCAAGTTCTAAGGACTTGGGAAGTTTGTCGTTTGATTTCTCGTTTTTCTTCGTTTTTTCTTTCCTTTTTCCTTTTCTTTTTTCTTTTCTTTTTTTAATGCAAAGGACAACGGTTTTTGTTATGGGTGGTGCTTAGCCGTCACACCAGCAAACATAAAAAACAACAACAACAACAACAAGAAAGTTGCACCGAAAATTGTTTATTTTATTTTCCTTATTTATTTATTTATTTACCTTGACGGGCATATTGACAACTTGAGCGACTGCGTTTGAGGCTTAGCTATAATGGTTTATTAAAAATTAAATAAATATTGTGGTTCCTTCAACAACAACGGTAATAACAATAATAATGAGCAGCCTACTGGTGTGCAGGTGTGGACTGTGTGTGTGTGTGTGTGCATGTGTGTGTTGGGGAAAGCCTCTTATGTTTGGTAAAATTGAAAAGTTGTCAATCTCATCAAAAGTTTCATATATGCATAATAAATTTAGCGGGCAATATTTAAGTGAAAAGTAATTTTACGAAAACAACGCTTTACATTTTATGTGGCACAGTTTGCTTTCCGCTGATAAAATTATTTTCAAATCATAAAAACATTAAAATAGAAATGCTTAGGGAGAGGTTAAGGTCTAAATGAAACGAAATCACTCAAAATAATAAAAAATTATGAGTAAAACTAAGAAAATCCTAAGAATATATATTTTTTTAAGGTGGCGCTAGAACTATAACTAGGTTAATATAAAGTTTTAGTTCTATAATTAGTTTTATATAGAACTGAAACTTACAAGTTTTAATTAAAGTAAATTATAAACTTTGAAAATAATAGAAACTTGTGGATAAAACCGAAAAGAACTTGGACTTTATAATTGTATAAATATAATTTGATATGTGTGCTTAATGTTATTTTCTCATTTCTATATAATTACAGTTGTGCTAACAACGCTGATAAGCAGCTGCTCCCTGGTGATGGTCCTGGGTGACGAGTCCATCGATACGCGTGAAAATGCGGATCTGGTGTTGAAGTGTCGCTTCACCGAGAAATACGAATCGAATGATTTCTCGTTCTTTTGGACGCGCTCCATATCGAATCCTGCGCAATTCGACAACGTTGCCATTGGCGAAGTGCAGTTGAGTTCCGGCTATAGGTGAGTAAATGCCACTCCCCCCCGTTCTCCCCTCCCATTCCAAGAGACTTATATGAAATCCTGATGATGATAAGCAGAAACTACAGCAATGAAATGCGGTTGGGGAAAATGGCTATTGGCAGCTCCTGTTCCTGTTTGCAGTTATACCAAGTTAATTAAATCTCGCACATACACATTTTTGCTAGGTGTGTGCGTGTGTGTGTGTGTGAATGTTTGTGGATTTAATGCAATTTATGCATGTGACTGACTGAATGACTGGCAACTTAATTAAAATCAAGTTCTTGGCAATTTAAACCAGTTCGCATTCGCTGTTTGGTCGTGCCTTAATCCTTAAGCCATATTGCCAATGCCGAAGCGTGTTAAACATTTACACAATTATGAGGTAAATACACACACACACACACACATATTCGCACATACACATCTCATATGCCTGTGTTTGTTTATGTTTCATTTTGATTACCCGTCCGCTCGCTCGCCATTTGCAATTGTATTTTTATTTGCTTCGTGCCACGATTTCCGCTTCCGGCGTCGCCTGCTCGGCCTGTTCAGCCTGTTTTTAATGTTTCGCTCGGTTTGACTCGTTTGCCGTTGTTTTTCCTGCTTGTTGGCTGTCGACTGTCGACTGTTGACTGCTACATCTGCCACTGTTTCTTGCTTCTTTATGTGCCAACGCATAAATTTTAAGTGCCCAGTCGAGGCCACAAAATGCATCGCCAGCCAAATGAAATGCCCAACAGCCAAATATTCACACATGTACCACTGATTGTGTGTGTGTGTGTGTGTGTGTTTGTGTGCAATAAAAGCAAATCAACACAAAACACAAAACAGCAAATAGAAATACAAAGCATGCCAAATATAAAAATACAAAAACAAAGTGAGCGCAAGCAAAGGATCGTATTGTGGCAAGGCACAGTGTGCAGTTCCCAGGCAAATTGTAAAATACTTTTTTTTAACTGCAATTTGCGTCGAAAGCTAACAAGTAGCAGCAAGCAGAGCAGCCACAACAAAAGCATTCCCCATATGCCGCTAAATCTATATTTATATCCATGTATCTCTATCTGTATCTACATCTGCGGCCATCGCTGTCGCTGCAAAAGTGAAATTACTGCTCATTTTTGGCCGCTGCGATTTTTTGGGGTCATCGAAATGCCGCCACAAACAAAATGCCATAACAAACCACAGACCCAAAGGCACCACAAACTAGAGACCTGAACAGCACCAGAACACAGCAGAACAGAGCAGACCAGAGTGGAGACTGAAGCCTGCAGCTAATATATCGTTAAACATTTCATTTAACGAGGCAGACGCAGACACGAATATTTCGTTCAGCCTTTTGGAATGCAAGTCATGCTGCCAATTGGTGATTCTAAACAAAACCCAACAAATCTCCCTAAAAACACCCAGCGAAATGCTAGAAATCAAATCAAATTGATTTGCCTGTAAATATCAATGATTTATGTTTACATTTGTAGCGCTTGTACAGATTTTAGTTTTCCTTATTTGGAAACATATTTTTAATTATTTAAAATTGAATTCAACGATTGTAATATGTTTAGAATTATTTCACAATTTATATGAAAAGCCTCGCGTTTAGTTATATGAGTTAGATGATATATGTTTTAACATAAGTGAACTGTCTGCAGTGCTTTAGTTCAGCTTATTTTTAAAAATCTCTTAAGTTTGTCGATATGTTGGTGTTTTCATATCTGGGAATTAGCCATTTAGTATGCTGCCAAAATGTATGTAAACACACACATACATTGAAATGGCGTTGAAATTTAAAAGCCAAACATGTGCCGGAATGTCCCATTGCCAAATAATTGGATGCGGCGGCAATGGCCGTTTAACGTTTACGTCGGCCAAATGAGCAAGAGCGGGCATTGGAGATTGGGGATGCAGAGATTGATAAAGAGAATCTGCATTGGAATGCCTTTAACGAATTGGAAACCGAAATGCAGAGCAAAACAATTCGCAGACAGAGTGTTGCCTTCCGGCAATGGCATACTTGAATATTGCAGGCAGCAGGGGCGAAAAAAAGAAAAAAAAAAAATAGAAACGGTGTACTACAAATCCCGCAGGAGCCTTTTAAGCGCTCAAGGACGTGCGACACGCGCTTGCTCCACTTTTGTAGTTGCCACTGTTGTTGTTGTTGTTGTTGGAGTTGGTGCAAATGCTTGAAGCGAAACGCTTGCTGCCTGCCTGCCTGCATTCGTTGAAAGCATCTCCTTTTCCCCAATGGTTGGCGATGAGTTGAGAGCTGCGCTTTGCCAGCAATTTTTATAATTTGCACCGTTTTTTTTATTATTTTTATTTCATTTTGATATCCTTATATTTTGTGTGCACTGTCCGCTGTCGGCTGTCCCCAAGCTCAGGCTGCAAATGAGCAGCTGCGACGGCCACTGGAGACGCAGCGACAAATAGAAAAATAATAATACAGCGCAGAAAATATAAAAGTAAAATGAACTAGACGACGAAGGACAACCGAGCGAGAAAGCGCCTGCAGAGAATTGACTCAATTTGCCTGACAACAATCATTTTTTTTTATAAGTACATGTTATGCTATATATATACATATATATATATTTTTTTTGTCAACAACGTGGTGTCTGCGTTACTTTTTTCAAATGCTTTGCTTAGAAATTTTCGCTGTATATGAAAATTCTTCTTTTTTTCTGGTTTAGCCAAGTGCTTGAAGCTGGCAGCCATGTCCTGCGCTGTGGTTTTACTGTAGTATAACGGTCAACGCGTTCGTGTCTGGCAAATTAAACTGGTTGGTTTTTGTGTGTATTTTTTGTGTTGTGTCTTTGCGGTTCGCAGCAATTAGCAAAGTACGCGAGCAAAGTGTGGAATATAGACAGCTGTGTGGCTTTGCGCTTTTTTTGGCCTGGCCTGTTGGCAAAGTGAGTGTATTGTCAATTAAAGCCATAAAATGCGTCTAGACGCTGAATGTCTAAAATAAGATGAGCTCAAAGTTCGTTCATATCACAAGTGTCCACTCGAAACCGGACTGTGATGACGCCTTCGCATCGCATTGCAGCGTTCTCCACTTCGTTGCCATTTGACAAATGAACTTTCAGTTAGCAAAGGTTGGCAGTAAGGGTAGGGAGTGAGGGGAAAGGGAATATTTTGTCTTGATTGACAATTCAATAAACTGTTGTCGTAGCAGTCGCTGTATCATCCATCGATCCATTTATTGACCAGCCAAGTGGACAGCGTCGCGCATCAATTTTCAGCAGTCGTTGTCTAGGACAACCAGTCAAATAATTAATGTGGTGCAAAGTTGTAAAGAAATGTCACAAAAAACGAAAATAGAAATATAACCCAAAAATAGTTAAGTAGCTTGAAAATAAACTTGGAAAAACTATCCAGTAAGCTGCCTAGCTGGATACATTCATTCATATAAAAAATATATATATTCAAAAATAAATTAGTTTCTAGTACTAAACAAGTATTAATCTATTTCATGGCTAAGCAATAATATCCTTAGTAAAAGTCTTCAAGTAGGTTCTTAAATAAAAATTCCACTTGATTGTGCTCACAGTAAAGTTCGAGCAGTTTATCTAATGAGAAACTGAGACAACATTGCGATTTATTTGCACACTTTTAGGCGTTGGCAATTTGATGGATTTTGTATTGATTATCTTGTGCTAAATGCATTTAACATTTCAAGCGCTAGTCAAATATAGAAATCCAATTAAGGCAACTTGCCAAAATTTACAATTAAAATGACGCCTTTAATTTCTGCCTTGGCAATTAAATTTGCCAAAAAAAAAAAAGAAGTGAAATGGATGAAAACACTTCAAAGCTCAACAACAGCAACAGCTACAACAAATATTGTTGACATTTTGTTTGCCAATCGGTTGCTAACGTCTGGCAATTCATACCGCCCCCCTCCTTACCTGCCACATCACCCTCTTCCCGTCTCTATGACGCTGTTGTCATCGTTATCGTCAATCGAAGTCATCGTCTAGGAAAATATGCAAACATTTATTGAACGTTGATTTTATTTATGTTGCTGTCACACGCCCCCGCCCTCCCTCTCTCTCGCACTCCCCTCTGCTCTCTCGCTTTCTTTCGCACACTCTGCTCAAATATTAACATTTCTTATTTATTTATTTTGCGAATCGTTTAAAGTTGAACCACCTGCGGGGACTCGGCAGTAGTCAGGGCCCGCAGCAGGACATCGACAGCAAATTCAATATTAGCACAATTAGTGTTGGGGCTCTCGAGGGGTGGTAGGGGGTTGTTGCCACATCACCCGTTTCGCATAGGCAAAGTTTTTAAATAAAATAAATTGAATTTCGAAATTAAATTGCTGTGAATAAAAAGCCAATAAAATTTAAAATAAAAATGTCGCCGCCATTTAAAATGTATAAAATGTATTCAACATTTTCTTTAATTTTACCCATTTTGTGTTCGTTACAGACTCGACTTTCATCCGGAACGCGGTATTTACGATCTGCAAATCAAGAATGTGTCCTACAATCGCGACAATGGACGCTTCGAGTGCCGCATCAAGGCCAAGGGCACCGGTGCCGATGTCCATCAGGAGTTCCATAATCTAACCGTCTTAACGCCCCCGCATCCGCCGGTCATCTCCCCGGGCAGCATTGCCGTCGCCACCGAGGATAAGCCCATGGAGCTGACATGCAGCAGCATTGGCGGCTCACCAGATCCCACAATAACGTGAGTAGAAGACAATTTTACTATATATATATGTGTGGATATAATGCTTGGGTTATCTTCAATGTGCAGATAATCTAATTTTAAACTTCATTTTAGTTAGTTCTCAGTTAGAGGCAAACAATTTTGGGACAACGAAGGTTGTTGAGTGTGGCACAGATTGTTGTCTGCATCTATAAATATTTATAACTTTGATTACATTTCGTATAAAAACTATTCAATAATAAATCAAGAGCTTTTCGCTCGTAAATTTAGAGTAATACATAGTATACATAAGATGTCTGTTGAGCGAATATTTTATTCAGGCTTGCAGATATTTATCTGTTAATTTACAAACTATTTTAGCTGACATCTATTCACTATTAGAATAAAATATGTTTTTATATACAAGCCTGTTCCAATTTGGCGCATTATTGAGTACTAAATCAATACAGAGCAGATGCAAATTAATTAGAAGCGCATCTCCTTTGCTCTTTTTTAAAAATTGCTAGTTACTTTAAAAATCGATAGCTCAAAGGGTAAACTTCGTAAATTAGAAATGATTGTATGTATTGATCTATCTGCAACTCTTTCAACATCTCTTGCAGCTGGTACCGCGAGGGCTCCAATTCGCCACTGCCTGCGAGCGTGTTGCGCGGCGGCACCAAGGATCAACCGACAAATGCGACACTGTCGATAACACCACGTCGCGAGGACGATGGCGCCAAATACAAGTGTGTGGTGCGAAATCGGGCCATGAACGAGGGCAAACGTCTGGAGGCTACAACCACATTAAATGTTAATTGTGAGTACCCAGTTGAATATAGCTTTAATTATATGCATGCTTATAGGCGGCAATTTCAACTGAAAGCAAAATGAATCTAGTTGGCTTAAACGTAATTTACCCAGTTAATCAGTTGCAGTCTCTAACTGTCTCTGATTGACTCTTTTCTCCAATTTTCTCAAACTTTGCCAGCCCTTTTTTGACAAATTGCCTTTGACATTATTACAACTAACATGAACTCGGTTTTCAATTGTGTGCTTGTCTATTTATAAATATGGCAAGTGCAGCTAGCTAACAGTCAACTTGTCTTTTTGCTCGCATTATTCATTACAGTTTTCAAAAGGGGTCAAGTGGGCGGGGGAAGTGGGGGGCGGGGGTGTGTCATTTCAGTTGACCTCAGTGGCCAACGTTGGGTAACGTCTGATTAGCATGGCTGGGCGAACAAATAAATAAATACATGGCTGCATAATGAAGTGACCAGACATGACCACTGACATTGCTGCAACCCATTAGCCCGCCTCTTGCAACTTTTCACTTGTGTGTGATGCTTGCAACGAGCTCTCAACTCAACAAATGCCGACACATTTGTTAAAATGCTGTACAAATTGCCAGAGAGCCATTTCAATGAGTCCCTAAACAACGAAAACATTAAACAAATATATATATATATATATGTGTGTGTGTATATGTGTAAAATCACATATATATAGACTTACATATATATAGCTCCATTTGTACTTTTGTCAAGCACATAAATTAAGTGAAGCTGCTGCTGACGTTTTCCGTGTTGACCTGCTGACTCAGAGCGCAAGTAATTAGAATAGAAATTTATGTGTGACCAAAAACGTTGTCGCCTCTTATTGTCTGTTGTTGTTGTTGTTGTTGCAACAAGTGGCAGTTAAATGCTGCACTACGCCCATTTTGGGCCATTAGCGTGTTAGGCTATTAGAGCTAATCAAAAGCCAAATAAAAGCCAAAACCTGAAATATTGTCCCGTCAATTGCAGTCCAGCAACTGAGCAACTGAAACAGCAATAACAACGCCAGCAACAACAACAACAACTGCTGAGGTCAACCATCAAATGCGTAATTAATTCAAATACAAAGCCACAAGAACATCGCACATGGTAATTAGTAGTTAGCTAAAGCTAGAACCACAACGCAGAACTAAACTGCAGTCAGTGTTGCTGAGCTGCTGCTGCTGCTCATGCTGCTGATGCTGTGTGTCTGTGGTTTGTGTCCACGCTAATTGCGTGAATTGCATGCATTCTGAAACGTACCCTCAACTCACTATGAAGACCACAAGCCAAACCAGTCGAGTTAAGCCGCTTGATTGATTAAGTGACTAATTACCCATCATTGGCCAAAAGAGAAAGTTTTGAACAACAAAAAAACAGAGTAAATACTATAAGGATGGCACAGTTTAGAGCCGAAATTAATATAGAGATGAACAAAGGCTAATCTTGAATAAAATTTAATTTCAATTGTGTCAAGTGCATGTTAACAAGAGAAACCCAAACACAGTAGCCCAACAAGAGTTGAAGTTTTCGAGACAAGCAAATCCATTCAGTTGTCATATTAACAGGTATTAATAACACCCAGTCTTGTCTGGTTCCGCTCTATAAACCTCAATTAAGATCGTGAAAACAAGTTGTAGTTATTATCCGATTAAATAAAAATGCTTATGAATGGCAAAACGCCAACACGCAATATTCACACACTCATTCAACCATTCACTCATTCACTCACACACATCTTGTTGTCAACAAGTTTTGCCAGTTCTTCCCACGTTTTGTATGCAAACAACAACAGTAAAAACTGTCGCTAATTAGCTGCCAAGAAAACTGACCACGCCCACACCGACCAGACAGCCTCTTATGACGCTCACACATTGATTGAACTAATTAAAGCATTTGAGTTTATTTATGAATAGATAAATGAATGAGTGAGTGAACAAAAGAGTGAGTAAATTTAATGGGCTGCATTTCAAAATAGACTGCGGTTTAATTAAAATAGAAAACCATATCCCACACTCACCCACACATACCACGCCCACTAAGTGGGTCAAACTGATTTGCATTTATAAGCCTTTTTAAATTAAGTATAAAAAAAAATGAAAAAAAAATAAAAACTCTTTGTTGTTATTTAGTTTGTTGAACACAATGTTTAATTAGAAATATTATGCAATAAGCCAAAACCACAAAAGTAAACGCAACGAATTGTAATTTGGAATGTTTATTAATTGACATTCGAGGATGCGCAGAAGGTTGGCTAGGCAATGGCAAAGGGGTTATCGCTCTGATAAATAACAATTTTAAGAGCACTTAGCTTAAAGGCTGCAAAAGGCATTCTTAAAATGCAGATGGAGTGAGAGAGAGATGAGAGTGAGCCATGTTCTTCAATATGTGTGGTGTTCGGTTTGTGGCCATTGGATTTTCCCTTGCGGTCAGTGCTGCTTTGGGTCTAATGCGTTTTTAAGCAAGCCTCGAGGAGTTGATCAAAAGCAAAGGCAAAAGTCCTTGCCCAACGGGCAACCGAGCAAACGGCCCAGGACATCGACAGCATTTGCGGTTGCTGTCTGCTGCTGCTGCGGGCCAGAAAACACATACACAGAAGGACTCCTTTTCCAATTGGTATTCTATGTTGCGGCCAAGGCAACTCCTTCTTTGGTGTTTGCAAACAGTCAACAGGCATTTTCAACCATTTGCCTGACAAATTAAATCAAGCAACACTTTAATTGTTAGTGTTGTTGCCAAACGTTTTTCAATTCACCATTTTAACAATTTGGAAAACATTTTCTGATTTACGACCATCAATAACAATTCACTTAGACCTTGGCCAATTGACACCTACAAATTAATCAGTAGTCGCCGAGAACTTTACCTCCATCAGAGCAAGGTCTCGCAACGGCCGCCTGACGACAGTCCTTTCACGTCCTTGTCTAATCGCCCTCAATAAGTCATTGCGAAATTGCGGACTATAAATTGCAGCCGCCCATTGAAAATTCTCAGCGTCTGCTGCTTCTTCTTCTTCGTCTGATAATAACCACAAAATGACACAATGGCCCTGAAGAATAAGGCGAATTGGTTTTCTTCTTTTTTTTCAAATCTTAAAGGTTATGTTGAAGGACTTGGATGTCTGTCTTAATTGAAAGAAATATTAATAGTTGTTAATTATGTTCAATTGGGTTGCTTTCAAGCAATTTAAAAATGTCGTGGCATACTTTTGGGACATCAAAAGAAAGGCTCAAAATCACGAACTCCTGGTTTTCTGGGAAACTACAAGGTTCATTTGGTTGTCCTTTCGTCAGCTGGTAGCCCTTGTCAACAAAAAAAAGTGTTTGACACAGGATCTGCAGGGATATGACCAATTTACAAACAATTTCCTTTTTTAAAGAAGTCTTTATCTCAGCGTTTTTGAAGAACTTTCGTCCTTTTTATTGCCTTATTAGAATTGGCATGCCAAGGAGTAACAGTACTCTAAAAGATATCCTGATAGTCCTTGATTTTTTCACGAGAAAATACGAGTTTTGTGATGTTGTCTCATATCTTTTGACAAATTTTGTTTCCCAATCTTAAAAATCTAATTTTGTGATTTTCTGTGAACACCAAAAAGGTGTCCTTTTGTGATGCTTAAGGATATGACAGTGTTATGGCTACATATGGAACGTAATTATTATTGGAATTATATTGATATATTATAATTTTACATGGGAGCTGTAACTCAGCCAAACGATTGCACATTTTTGAAGAATTCGCTATTGAATTGCATTCAATGATTAGAAGGTCATGTTAGACACCAAATACCCAGCTCAAAGTTCATTGCTCAAATGTGATTGTCTCCCCACATGATTTACTTCCCCTCTACTGCAGCTGCTTCTCCTGCGACTGAATGTTAAGTACTTTATCTGCAATCCGAGTAAGTATTCAATTACTTAAAGGGCAAACCCAGAGTCAAATGCTGGCTCAAAGGGGGAAATTGGTCGAGGGGAGGCGTCTAGGAAGAGTTTATGGTTTTGGCTTGCCGGCATTGAATTTATGCAGAGCGGATTGCTATGTGTATTTTAAGCTGCGACGCTAATTTATTGTTCTGGCGCCGCGCATTTTGAGTGCGGCTGCCTGATGAGCCTAATCGGATCTCACCTGGGCACCCAGGCCACCCCTAACCAGTAAAGCGGGCAGGCAACAGACAGCTGCTGCTTGGTGAGAATTGTTGCAAGGATTGCGAATTGTTCAGGGTTGCCAGGCTGCCAGTTTGCCGGGTTGCCTGCTTGACTTTCAATTTGATTCTAAGCCGACATTGCTTTGCTTTGCTGTCAAATGTTTTTACCTTTTTGGGGGATTTAAAGGTGCTTAAGTCGCACAACAATTTTACAATAATATTGACAATGCGTATGTACACACCCACATGTGTGCATGTGTGTGTGCGTGTGTGTGTATTCGTTGTCCTGGCGCCTATCATTTTCATAGTTTAATGTCAGGCAATTAACTTTTGTCTGGCCTGTCGCAAAGAAGCCCGAATCCAGAGATACCAGAAAGAAATGGACTGGGACAGATGTGGGGGAGGGCTTGGATTGAACGCTCTGTCGCATCCTGCCTGGCAGCCTTGCCAGAACGCTAGCCTGCTGCCAGTCAGCGATGAGATCATGCATAAAAAGGCAGCCCGGGCACGTTCCGGATAGAGAAACTGAAACTGGAGAGCGGGAGCAGTGGAGCAGAGGAGGAGAAGTGGAAGATGGGTGCCTGTAGATGGAAATGTAAATGTAAATGTTGCCCGCTTCGGTTGGTTGAAACGACCTTGCGCCATGTTTGAACCTTAACACCAGGCAAGATGAGCTGCGAGGGGAGACGCAGGAGGGAGATGAGAGATGGGGAGGAGACAGGCCAACTAGGCAAATAGGCACAGCATGTTGTGGAAAATCAACGAAGCAAATGCCAATACACATGTGCCAATAGATGCGGCGAATTGGGAGGGATACGGTGGGTGCAGAGGGGCGTGTAGTGAGTGGTTTGGCGATGTCCT